ATGCATGCACGGAAACATGCAAGCGTGCAAGCATGCATGCAATCGTGCGTGCATTTGTTTTGGTACCTGAGGCGGACACATATCCATCTGTTCAGTATTAGAAGGCGCTAAAGGGGTTTAGCCTGAGGGTGACAGAAATAAACATGGAGGAGGAAAACAAGGGAGAACGGCGTGCAAAAAAATGAAGATAAAGATGAAAAGAGATAAAGGACCAACAGCCCTCGCCCTTTACCTTGGATGTTCTAGTTCACAGGGGAAGTTGGACAGTAGCTGCACATGCAGCTAGCTAGCTGTATTGGCTTGCTAGCTGCATTCGCTAGCTAGCTGGCTGGCTAGCTAGCTAGTTAGCTGTTCAGGCCGGCTGTCTGCACGCAGCAGCTAGCCAGCTGCCCAGCTGGCTAGCTGTTCTGGCTGGGTAGCTGCAGTGCGTCTACAGAGCAGATTTTTCGGTTGTTCTGTACTTCGCCAGACTTCGTTTTCTTTTGAACTGAGTGTACAAAGTAATAAAACGGTAGTATTACACATATATATACATATATATGCATATATGTATATATTTATTTATTTGTATTTATACATACAAATATATAAATGAGCTCGTCTAAAGAAAGCAGACTAAAGTTCAGGACCACTCCCTGAAGAGAGACTGAATGATGACAGTGTTACAGAAGGCGTATTGCACTGTATATATAATGTATATATATTTTATTTATTTATATTTATATATTGTCTACACATGATGAACCAAGACAAAAGACACCAATACACACAGTTGATGGCGCGGTGTATGCGCACCTCCATACGCTGCGCCTCAACCGTCTTTACAGAGAAACGCATGCAAATGCAAAAAAATATCTAAATAAAGACAAGACAAGAAGCCGCAGGCCACCGCAAAGAACCTTCAACTCTGTACAGAATAACTATGACGCTTTTCCTCTCCCTTACCCTAACATCCGCAGCAGCAGCAGCAACAGTTGCTGCTGCTGCTGCTGCTCCCGGGAGTCCTTATGGGGAGGGGAGGCGAGCAGACTTGCGTTAATTGCTCTTGGCTCTCCTTTGTCTAGAAGTGTTTGTAGAGAAATGCGCACAGCTAAACGCCGCTGGACGCACGCAAAACCCTAAAACCTAATATATCCCTCCTTTAGCCCTCCTATAGATACACCCGAAAGAGAGAGGAGAGAAGGCGCTACAAGGATGGGCGCCTGCAGAGCGGCCTTGTGTGCATGCATGCACGCACGCACGGATGGATGCAGGATGGTTGGGGCTTGCTGCCGGTACTTTCGTTCCTTTCACCTCCACCCATCAAACCCAGAGGAAAAACGTGCTGCCTAGCAGCAGCAGCAAACAAGGAAGCTTTGCTGCAGGCTGTGGGGTGGCTGCTGCGTTTGCTGCAGTTTTGGGTGCAGCAGCAGCAGCAGCAGCGACCTTTGTTCTTGCTGCTGCAGCAGCATCATCAAAGGCATCCCCTGGGTCTGCTGCTGCTAAGACAGGAGAAGGAAAGCCGGGGAAGAAAGAAAACAGCAAACGCAAAAGAAAACTCTTTGGTTGCTGTAGCTGCCTAGCTACTTCTGCTGCTAACTCCTCAGCAGTTGGCTCTGTTGCACTGGTCTTCTCCTCAGGCATAGCGATAAGCCGCACCGTCACGTCTAGAGGCTCCTTGCTGCTGCTGCTGCTGCTGCTGGTTTTCTTTATAGAGACCTCGTCTAAGACAATACGAGAAGCAGGAACCCCCAGGGCCTGCACCACAGCATCTCGCACTTTGTTTCCGAAGGCCTGGGGCCCCCTAACGCTGTTTGCAAATTCGTCTTCTCCTACACCTACAAATGCGATTTCAATGATACGTTGGCTCTCCTTTAGCGTCTTTTCCTTTGCCTCTGCAGGGCTAGACGCTGTTGTTGCTGCAGCAGATGGATCCGTGCTGCTGCTGCTGCTATTGTTGCTGCTGCTGTCGCTTGCTGCTGCCCCCGAATGATCTGAATGATGCCTCATCATAGAATTCGTTACAGCAGACCCAACCATACTCCCTACTGCAGCACCTAAAGCTGAAGTGACTGCTGTGCGCGCAAAAGAGGGACCCGAACTCGCCGGTGCTGCTGCTGCTGCTGGCGCTGCTGCACCTGCTGCTGCTCCATGGGGATAGCCAGTTGCATGCGGATGTGCTGGAGGTACACCCCAACCTCCACCAGGCCCCTGAGCTGTATAAGGCGCAGGAGAGCCGTACGCGGGGCCTCCGTATTGCTGCCCACTCACATTATATGGGGAAGGAGCAGCAGCAGCAGCAGCAGCACCAGCAGCAGCCTGCTGCTTCGGTGTTCCTGATGTTGCCGTTGCGTCAGTCGAATGATGAGGAGCCCCTACTGCTGCTGGGGCTTGCGCAGGTTGCTGCTGTGGGCCCTTCCCAGCACCAGCAGCAGCTGCGGCTGGTTGCTGAGGGGTCCTTGCTGCTGTTGCTGCTGCTGGGGTCCGTGCAGGGGAGCTGGGTGTGGAAGGAGCAGTCCTTGCTCCAGAGGCTCCTGTGCTGCTGCGGCGGAGGCTGTGCTGCTCTGCTGGTGGGCGGGGTGTATGTACAGGTGTAGGCGGCTGCCTAGATCCACTGGGAGGAGTACTACGGCGAGTTAGCTTAGGCGTCACCCTTGGCCTCTTGTAAGAGGAAGATCTGCCGAGTCCTCGCGTGGGAGCTCTGCCCTGCATGCATGCAAGATGAATACACAATACACCCCACCAGAGCTCTACGCCCAGCCAGCTCCTGTGCTGTGTGTGCATGCATGCATGCATGTACGCAAGGGGACTGGATGGTCTCAACAGCTGTGGAGAAGGCTGCAGGGGACCCACCGCAGCAGAAGAGCAGAGGAGAGGGGTAGAGGCAGCAGCAAAAGCAGCAGCACCAAAAGCAGCACGAGCAAAACAGCAATAGTACCAGCAGCAACGACAGCCATACCAGCAGCAACAGCAACAGCAGCAGCAGATCAACACTCACCCCGCGGCGGCTAGAAAAGGTAGCATGCGTCGGTAAACAACCGAATTGATGGGGGTTAGGGCTCAGAGAGAACAACAGCAGGAGCAGGAATGCTGCTATGGAAGGTAGCACTACTGCGCGGCTGACGGCCGCCATTGTGTGAGGGGGAGAAGATGAAGATATCGGCGACTAAGGAGGTAATAGTGCTCTATATACAGATGTTCTTCTGTATAGCATCTAAAGAATACACACCCAGCAATGTACAGGCAGCTGTACACGCGTCAGGAGTAGGCGGCCGGCTCGGTGGGCTGTACCTGCATCTGCGTCTTTGTGCTGCTGCAAAGAGGAGTTAAAGAAACAAAGCCAAGATTCTGTTCACTAATTGAAGTATTTAATTAAAAGAAACAGAAGAAAGAAGAGAAGCAACAAACACAAGTGCTTGCAAGCACTACTCCGCCTAGCTGGGTTGGCACGGACACCTGGGCACGAGGATGCGCCCCCCAGCCTTCTTCTTCAATGATGAAGAGAAAACAATATTGAATGGATTAAAATATCGGAAAACGCTGAAGTTATAGTGTGTAATAAACGGAAACACAACAAGTACAGCGAAGGAAGAACTCAAGAGCCCCCTGCCTTCTACAGATGTCTCGCCTACATCCCCTCTCGACGGGTTGGTTGGAGCCCAGTCTTGCATATGTTGCTTCGGTTCGTGCAGCGTTCATTATATACAGAAAAAAAAACTAATTAAATATAAATACCAAATTAATGCATTCAATTAGTATTTATATTTCATCAAGTCGTTCGTGAACGCTCAGCCCCTACTTGCACGTGGGGTGGGTTTGCAACGCCGCCCCATCGACTCCAGTTTCGCAGAAACCAAGGAAAGAAAAAGAAAACATTTAGAAAGTCTTTCTTCTTTCTCCGTTCCGCCTCCCTGTCTACGTTGATGTGGCACTGATGCCACTCTGAATGAATCTGACTGAGCACATAAGAGCTGCAGAGCGCTCAAGGGGTGCGAGTTCGGTGGTGGTTGCCAGTTGGAGAAAAATAATACTTTAAACCCAAGGCAGTACTTCAGGCGCCCTAGATTGCCTCAAATGGTATTTCTCGCATAGTTGAGTCGCCTTCCTGCCGTGTGAAAAGACTTGGCTTCACTTTTTAACGACTTCCCCTCTACCAATGTACTTCTTCTGTAGGGTTTAGTGTAGGGTTGCCTGCTCAGGAAGTCGGAACAGAATCTTCTTGTATCATTCATCCTGTGTCTTCATTCAGTGGCCGAGACTTACAGACTTCTCACCTTTCGGATTTTGTAGCATGGTGTATCCGAACCTGGTGTTTTATATTTTTCTACTTGCGTGTGGCTCGCTTTTGAAGGTCAAGTAAGCATTTCACACTTGTATTCAGAGTGGCGCGATGCAGCTAGTGGGGATTGAGTTTGGCTGTACTTGCCTTTGTGGTGACCCTTCTGCACCAGTTGCACCAAGATGCGCTGCTGCTTGTGAGAGTCTCCTCACCAGCCTAAGTCCTTTGTGCGGCGGGGCCCAGCACAACTGGAACAGGATGGGAGGGAATCAGCTTCTTTTCTGAAGTGCGTCTGGCTTGGTCTACTATACTGCAACTTGCGAGGGTCCTTAGATAAGATCGAGGACCCTCGCTGCCCTCCACGAAAGATCTGATACAGCTATAGGGCAGTTGTGACAGCCTCTCCTGTAGATCCAACTCGATTTAACTCTGTGTTCCTCCAAGCTCGTAGTAATGCCCAAGCGTGGTAGGGGTACTAAGTAGTGACTACGAAGTATATGTGGCATCTAAATATTCGCCGAAGAGATGCAGCCTGCTTGTCTAGTGCTGGCTCAGCCTCTGCGACTACGTACCCTGTGGCATACAGGACGTGAGAAACGGTAAAACTACAGGTGTAAAATTCGAGCTCAATTCAGAAGTGGGTCGTATTTCCATGATTCGTGAGTTTTGTGCTGGACCAATTCACCACGATTTAGTCCTAGGCATGCCGAAGGGGGTCCCAGCGATGGCCTACAGCTCACCTCCGCATGAAGCCATAAACGCTAGTGTGCGGGGCATCGCTGAGAAAGTGTACTTCGCACCGGTATTTGCATCTTGTACGGCAATAGGAGTTAAAGCAGCGTCTCGGGGAAAAAAGAACTGGGAAGCTGATGCGCTGCAGGATACGAAGGGGATTTTCATGCACTTCGTCCCATCCGTCTTGATGGTCTCACGAAGACAGCCATTTAAGGGTGTACGATCCAGTTTGACACCCGAGGGACACTCAAAGTAAGCACAGCTGCGGGGAACGTTCTCAGATGCACAAAGTAACAAGGAGCTACCAGCGGGAGTGCCACCAGCTAAATGCCCAGTACACCGCATCAAAAACACATTCCCGCAGCATCTCCCAGCTGTATGTTAAAGGTACAGATGACCCCATACCTTGAAGAGGCAATATGTCAGCAAGCAGGGTAAGCGCTAGGAAAGGGCAGAGTTTAACCGTCCAGCAACGCATGCGGACAGAATCCGGTGCTGGCACATCTGCGCCGAATTCGCGCCCCTCTGCAAAAGCAAAGAGAAAGGCAGTTTTCTGAAGCCCTGGATCGAGACGCTACTTGAGTGCTAGCAAGGTTCAGCAGCTTATTCATCACTTGCTTCCGCTTGAGCATTTTTGCATCCCAAAGCATCCAGCCGGCGGGCCAAAGACTGCGTTCAACACCTGCATTCCTAGACGGGAATACACGTGGGTGCCCGTTGGGGTGGTGGAAGCGCCCCCCGGAATCCGGCAACAGGCCGGTCACGATTGTTTGTGGCCAATCAATGAGACATGTATGGGTGTATGGACCGCCTGCTGGTGTCCAGCAAGGATATGCGGGAGCACTTGCAGCGCTTGCGGCGGGCTCTGCAACCTCAAAGGGAAAGGCAGAAGTCCGTAGAAGAGCATGCGCCTCTGTTTTCCAGGCAAGCAATTAGGTTCTTATGGTTTCGTCTCTCTGTATCGGGAGTTGAACCATATCCGATCAAAATAAACTTATGCACTGGCGGCGAGTTCTTTTATGGTTCCAAATGGAGCAAGGGCGACGCCGATAATACGCTCCACCTTCGCTTCACGCAGATTATTTGAGCTAAATGCCTGATCATAGGTTATTAGTTGCCATAATGAGCTGCAGCCGAACGGATCTACAGCAGCAAAATGTGGTTGGTTGGCAGCACGAGCAGCGGCAACAGACTCCGATCGCGTTTTCCCGCCATCATTAGGTTAACTAATATTGGTGAAGAAATGCCCTACGGCGTGGAGCTTGTAGCTTTTTTTTTAACAAAATTCGTCGACCTTCGCAGAGGGCTTTTACAAGCTGCAACAGATCCAAAGTACCATAATAAGAGTTCTCACAAACCAGCTGGTGACCTTTTCTCCAGCCCGCAGGTGTACTGAGCACAGCACCAAAAGGGCGGAGAGGAAGCAGCCAGTTGCGAGGTGCAGTGTTTTTGCTTCAACTCCTAATGCACGTCCGACCCACATGCAGGCATAGTAAACAAGGCAATTTGTGTTGAACGCACTAACGCTGTAGGCAGCTGATAAACGCTAGCTTATCCCTCAGTAACCAATGCGAGCGCAAGTGGAAATAGACATAGTTAATATCAGCTTCAGGCAGAGCATGCAACTATTGCAGTTGTACTGAAACGGCAGTTTCAGAAGTGAAGGCGCAGGAGCCCGTGCGACTACGTGAGAGAACGGAAGACCTCAATTTCAATAAAAGCAAATATAAAATTTCATTCATACAAATGAATATTAATTTTTTATTTATGTTTAGTAGAGTTATTGACAGGCTCGTATTCCTCAACACACCGGCTGCATGCGAACGACCCCACCGAGAAACTCCTTCCCACGGGCTGCTGCCGACGCATATACAGCAGAAGTTTTAGTTAATTATATTTTGAGTTTCAAGAGAAACTTTATAATTTAACTCATCGTTGCATCGGTCTTCCGTCTTCGGTGTTTCCAAAAGCAGCATCCTTTCAACACTGCCCTCCTTTTCGTGTGTGTACTCTCAGGGCAGCCAGCCAGTATTCCTCTACTTTTCTTCTGCTTGGGGACAAGTCGTGCATTGCGTCTCATCTGCCCTTCCATCACTCCGCTCTATTCCTCTGCCTTCCCGCTAAGCTATCGGCCGTAACCCCTTCTCTTTCAAGGTTGCTATAGAATACTGCAATTGCCAGAGCGCGGAATGGCACCCGAGAAGCAGATTGAAGATAGCGATGAGGTTTCTGCCTTTGAGGAGGGTGATGCTGCTTGGCTTGTGCGGCAGTTCGGTCGCTTCAAGCCACTGCTGCAGCAAGAGGCGGCCGGCAGCAGAAGCTTGCGTCTGACACTGCCTGTTGAGTTGGGTGTTCTGGGAGCCGCAGCAGCAACACCAACAGCGGACTCCAAACTTGCAACCTCTCGGGATGCAGACAGAGCCCGCCGCCTGCTGCAGTGGTCAAACAGACAGCACAGAGAACGAGCCCATCATCTGCAGCGCCTCGCCGTGGGGCACACCCGGCGGCTGCGTTTTGGGTAAGAAGGTAGAGCAGCATTCCTTCGGCTTCATCTCTTGTTTACTGCTGAACATTTAGATAGAGCCCTTTTACAAGATTCTTGTGCCTGGATGCGGCACACGAGGATCTGAAAAGATCCGTGTTTTGTGTCTCTTGCGTCGCGATTTGTAGACGCGTACACGCATGCGTGCGATTGTTTCTTGCGTGATATTACACCTGTAAGTAGTACTTTGTTGTACTGTAGGGGATGTGCCTACGCCGCATATATGTTGCATGCGGCGCGCAGCAAACGCCAGAAGAGGAAGCGAACGCGAGGCTGCGAATTAGGAGTGGAGAGC